CTCATGGGATCCGACAGGCGTAAAAATAATGATGGACACCTTAGCCACCGCTGACCCGCCCTGACTCGCCCCCGACTCGCCTGCTCCACATGAGAGGTAACGCAACCACTTAACTGGGGCCCCGTAGATACACACACCGATGGGACAGACATACACACTCCTTCACACACATACACTTAAATGCTTCCTGCTGAGAGCTATTTTCCCTTTTCTTCTCTATCAGTAGGGGGGCCTTTTAGACTTAAACTTCAAAATACACAGTCTGAAAAATGATAAAAACAGCTCATTTGTGAGCAAACCTTCTTTGTGATGCTGTTTACTAAAGGATATGGACACTGGTGAGAGTTTATCTCTAAAATGGCATAAGCTGTAGCCATTGTTCCAGTGAAGTATCAATCACAATTAATGTTAGCCACTTATGTGTTTAATGTCTTCATTTGAGATATTCAGTGTCATAAAAACACGTTTTGCTTAAAATACAGTGTGCATTGACCTCGGTAACCTGAAATATGGTTCTGCACCTGAATGGATCTCAGGGGGGAGCATGAGAAAAACTGATTGTCTGTGAAGGTTTGTCTCAGATCCAGACAGTGTGTTAGAGGAGAGCTGAGGTGGGCTGTTTCTCTCAGCTTAGCACTAGGAAAGCGATGTAATACTTTAATTACAGTCCTTAATCACTCACTCTAAAGCCCTCATATTTCTCACCTCCCAAACATGTATCAGCTCGTTTACAGTAGACTAGAGAAACACCGCAGCTCAGCACACACAGAGTCAGACATCCTACACTCTTAAACATGTATCTTTATCACAAGTGCAAGAGAACATGTCTCATTCATCATCACACAAGTTTCACAGAGTGTGCTAGTTTGACCTAAAACAACTGATTCAACTATTACCTAAATCAGACCAAAGACAACTACTACAAAGTTTGGGCGGAATTTTTTTTCTCTCATTTTAGCATTTAGGCCTGTGTGGCGGTGGGAAATGTATCTTTCGACTTATGTAATGTCACAAATACTCTTCATTTCATTGTCATGTTTATGGAGTGTAGTAAGGAAAAATGGAATAATTAAATGAATTAAGGCCATTGCTTGATGGCAGCATATGGAAAGAAGCCCCTCTCTCTCTCTCTCTCTCTCTATATATATATATATATATATATGTGTGTGGCTCAGGTATACTCTACATTATGGGGATACAATATCATGGGATATGATAAATTATGGAATAGAGTACATGGGAGAGCATGTACAGTTATGGGGTAGAATATACAGTTTGTACAGTATAAAAATCATTATGGCATTATTTTAATTGTATTTGGTTTGGTGTCGTGTTTATTTGTTTTTTGTATTTTGGCTATTTATGTTGTCGGAATATTGTTTTAATGGATAGCACTTTGGCCAACTCATGTTGTTTTTAAATGTGCTATACAAATAAACTAAACTAAACTATGGCTATGGAAATTCCCCATAAAACATGAAAACCCAACGTGTGTGTGTGTGTGTGTGTGTGTGTGTGTGTGTGTGTGTGTGTGTGTTTTAAAAGATTTTTTAAGATAACCTTTTTTTTATATACTCTTTGACAAATTACTCATAACAGGCTTCCATTTTGACTGATCACACCATTTGTAATCAATTTCCTTATTTCCAAAACTAGACAATTATGACTAGACTTTTTTTGGTTAATTTCATTTGATTTGTACTTGAACAGAAAAGACACAGTAAGATGATAAGGAAGCCCTGCACATGACATGTAGACATTTTTTTTTTTAAATAGACAGGGCCACAAATTAAGAATTTATTTTAATTCTCCCCTCATTTAGTTAGTTAAAATGTGGCCATACTACATTGCCTCCTTTTAATTTAGCTAAATTATGTCCATGATTTAAGGAGGGAACAAATTTAGCTATGGGAACAAATTTGTGGCCGCAATATCTTGTTTTTTGCTCACCGTATACGTCATATGCAGGGCTCCGTAAGATCAAGAAAAGACTGATGAAAACAAAGACATGAAAACAGGCCCCAACTTTTGTACCCCAACTTTGTTTGATGCTTGACAGTTGGGGATAGTCATTCCCAGCTACATTTGTGCTTGTGAGGGGAGTAAATATGTCAGCTTCACATTTTCCATGCATATGTATCCCATACCCCCACCAAAAAAACTATACTTGGCCTCAGGGTTGTCCAGAAACAAGTACTTTATAGCTGTTGTCTCTGACAGGACTCTGTCTTTGAGGACAGTTCAGTTCATCTGTACTCAGAAACAGATCTTTTCAGGCAGCAGATAGAGATGAGCACACAGGGTTGGGTGTTGGTGGGGGCTGGTGATTGCCTGATGATTGTCCCAGGTGCTTAGTAAGCGCAGAGTGTCAGGCCCCGACTAATTGACAACGTCATATTTGGCAGTGGGGTAAAGTGCTTAGAAAAAAGCAGCCTTGCGTGGTGTCTGAGTAAATATGGCGACTCAGAGATGCTAAATAAGCTCCTGCCCCCACTAGCTCTAATTATTACTGTGGCTTCATCTGATGTGGCAAGGAGGACCACTGTGTTTGGCGAGTTGACAACATGTAAAACTGTAGCTATTTGTGTGTGTGTGTGTGTGTGTGTGTGTGTGTGTGTGTGTGTGAGTGAGAGAGAGAGAGAGAGAGAGAGAGAGAGAGAGAGAGAGAGAGAGAGAGAGAGAGAGAGAGAGAGAGAGAGAGAGAGAGAGAGAGAGAGAGTGTGTGTGTGTGTGTGTGCACTTGTATATGTATATGTATATATATATATTTTTTTTTTTTTTTTATATATATATATATATATATATATTCAATATATATATTGAGATGCAGAAAACAGTCTTGTTTAATTTGTGCTCTCATTCTGTTTCTCTGAACCTGAAGCTGACTGGCCTCCACCCAAATCTACACCTCTCCATCTCCTCCTGGGTGGCACTGCCCTGCTTACTGAGGGAATTTCTCAATGGGAGTTTTTTTCCCTCCCCTTAATCTCTAAACAAGCACTTGGGTCTGTCCCGCTTTTACTCAGACAGTTCTAATGAAGAGAGGACAAAAGGAGGCGGGCAACCTCTTTTAATTCATCTCACTTCAGTGCGCTTTAATGCCATCAAAACTTCTATACATGTTGTCTTTGTAGATTAAAGTTTTTTTTTAAATCATAAATATATCAATGACAAAAATATCATTATACTTAGAGAGATGTAATCAAATTACGTATTTTTTAGCACACAAACATACAGTAAGAGCTGTTCTGGTACACACAGAACAATAGTGGTATTGTGTCTGTGAACTTGAAAATTGACCGAAACGCAGCTTTGCTATGTGTGCATCTTTCTGTTTTTTTTTTTTTCAGTGATGACTAAGGCTCTCATACTGTATTGTCCCAGAAACACAATGTAGAAATACTTCTGAGGTCTGCAGGGCAGTCACTATGATGATGCTAATATTACATAACCAGACAGTCTCAGAGATTTGAAACTGTGCATTGTGCAACAACAGAGGGTTATTTTGTATTGAAAATTCTTGTATTAATCAGTTCTTGTGTAAGAAAACAGTTTTTTTTTCATAAAAGAAAAAGACATGGTCACTACTCCCACTATTTAAAAAAATTCTGAAGGAGTCAACCATTTTGCAGGGTTTTGATAGTGATGCAGTCATTGTTTAATTCAATTCAAATAGGCAAATGTGAAACATTTTGGATTCTTTTATATATATATATATACAGGTGAAACCCGAAAAATTAGAATATCGTGCAAAACTTCATTTATTTCAGTAATTCAACTTAAAAGGTGAAACTATTATATTATATAGACATGCAAAGCAAGATATTTCAAGCCTTTATTTGTAATAATTTTGATGATTATGGCTCACAGCTTATGAAAACCCCAAATTCAAAATTAGAATATTGTGAAAAGGTTTTCATATATGCTGTAAGCCATAATCATCAAAATTATAACAAATAAAGGCTTGAAATATCTCACTTTGAATGTAATGACCTTTTAAGTTGAATTACTGAAATAAATGAACTTTTGCACAATATTCTATGTTTTTCAAGTTTCACCTGTATATATAATATATGCCTATATAATATTCGAAGGATTCCAAATGTTTCAAGTTTGCCTACTTGTTGCATATTCCTTAGTCATTTTAATGCTTGTATTAAATTAATGCTGCCTTTATCGACCGTAGGTTTGTAAATTCATAATAAAAGTTCAAGTGTCCGAGGGGGAAAAAATATATAAACAAATTAACAGAATTTTGGAATTGTAATTCTTTATTTTCTTTAAAACTTAATGTTTTGCATAAATTTTGGAAAATAAATGTAGTGACTTGTATCTGTGTAAAGATCATCAGCTATGAAACATCATTAAATCAACAAGTGAGTTAGTGGCATGATGACATTCGATAATTCACTTATCACTTTAACTTACAGGTAAAACTTTAATTTTACCCATAGCTTCCCAGACAACATATTTCTTTCCTTAAAGGACAAACTGCAAGTTACATAACTTAATATAAATAGTTTAAAACAAGTGTATAAAACAAAACAACTGCATTTACAAAAATAAGCCCAAAAAAAAAATAATAATAATAAGACTAAACTTTTTCGATACTGGACAATACTGAATCTTGGCAATCATGGATACCAAGGAAATCCCTCCATCAAACTATATAGCCTACTACTACAAAGACTATTATAAATTCAAACTAAAAAGATAAATCCATTTAAATTAGTGCATGATCCAAAAAACTGGCACATGATATGGAAATCTCTGTTAAGACATAAAGGAATCCAATGTAGAAGTAAATAGATTTTTCACATGGGTTTCGACACTAATACATCGGATTTCACTCATTTGATGGATGTGTAGGCCTAGGCCTATGTCGCATTTAAATTAATGTTAGGCCTATCTGCTTCTATGGCATGTTGCATTTCAGCATCACACAGTGTTGAAAAAATTAATCTTTTTTTCTTTTCTTATTAGAAAATATAGGCTATTCACGAGCGTGATAGATTTATAACTCCGTTCCGTCTCGAGGGTAAATAAGACTGTTCACGCTGAAGCTGTTGTAGAAGTGTCCGTTGAACTGCGCGCTCTGGCCGCCAGTAGTAAAAGAGTTATAGTACATTCCACGGTTCACGTGCACACTGTCCTGGAGTTCACCCGCTCCACCTGCCTCAGGTGCTGCGCTGCCATGGTAATGGCTCAAAGCGCTGATATTTCGGCTGGAAAGTTCGTTTACCAGACCCAGAGAGCCCTGTCTGCTTGTCGGAGCCGAAGACGAACTTAAGGAAGACATGCTGTTGAAGAAATTGTTGAAGCATGGAGCGCTCGCGAGGCCTCCAGGAGACGCGGCTTTGTGACTGTCACTGGCCGCATCAGTGTCGGGAGATGCGGGTCCGGTGAGGTGAGGGCTGACGGTGGGTTTGATCCCTGCGAGCTGTCGGTCATCCTCCGGTTTTGTGTTGCTGGCAGCACCTGTGCTGGAATCAGATCTGCGCTTTCTTTTTCGACGAAAGTTCCCGTTGTCAAACATCTTTTCACAATTGGGGTCAAGAGTCCAGTAGTTTCCTTTCCCTTCAAGCAAGATGGATAGTTGGTATATTAGGGCCCAAATGTACTTTTCATGCGCAAGTTATTTACTGTGAAATTCCATTAATTTAAACATTAAACTAGTTTTTAAAATTAGTCATTAGGCCAATGACTAAAAAGATTGTCCAAAATGATTAAGGGGGAATCATGTGCCAAGTTCTAAGATATTTAATCTGTGTATTAATACCGGTTTCATTTGTCAACAATGTTTAGGCCTATACCATTTTTTATTATAAATTTTGATTTTATGATTCAATTATTTAAAAATGTCAAGCATAATAATCAAAACAATAAAATACGTCCCTTGCACATTGAATACACCTGACATGTCTTAATTAATATTCTCCAAATAATGTTTTCAAACAAGGTCTTTTATTTATTTTACTTTATTTTATTCAACGTCTTAAAATATGGGGTAGCTATATTTCATTAATATCAAGACGTTTTCTTAGGGTTATTCCACTTGATAAAAATTTTCCTTGTATAATGAAGTCTTTTTCAAGATTTATTTGCTTTTTTAGGGGTCACATTACAACAAAATGAATCATTTTGATTCGGCAGACAATATATATAGATTTGAAACTAGTCAAAATTAATGTTATATAGCCTACTGTGTATATATACACAGTAGGCTAAATATAACATACATTTTTACTTTTTGATGACTATAATGAAATGACTATAATGAAAGATAATGCTTTATCTTTTTCTTAAATAATCTATTTACACTCCACTTTCCAAGAACCCTTTTAATTTATTTATGTAGGCTATTTATTTACTTAGGGCCTATTTATTTAATACATTTTCAATCTCTGGACATGTATGACTTTTAATTCAGAAATAAATAGAAGTTGCCTATGAGGTAAGTGTTCTCGAGTCATTTTAAACTATAGTTGCGTGTGTTTTTTTTTAATAACTTAAAAGATCTGGACAAAAATGACTATCACGTCATTGTCGCTATATCACAGTTAATGGCTAGCTCACTTGTTTCGTACTATGCAAAGGTGCACGAGCATCACTCACCTGGGTCGTCTTCGTCACGCGGCACTTTTTTGAAGCAGTCATTCAGGGAAAGATTGTGCCTGATGGAGTTCTGCCATCCCGCTTTACTCTTCTTATAAAACGGGAAATTTTCCGCCACATATTGATATATCTGGCTCAAAGTTAACTTCTTCTCGTGCGCGTTCTGTATTGCCATGGCTATCAGAGCCGAGTACGAGTAGGGCGGGCGCACGAGCTTTAAAAGTTCCTCTTGGCTCGCAATAGAGAGCCAGCCTAGGTCCGGACCGGCGAACCCAGAGGAGTTAGTGAGATATTGCCTCTGAGAGCCGTAAGCCGGGGGAATGAATGAGGGGCTGTTGTTGCCATGTATGTAAGACGAAGAGGAGTTGACACTAGGTCCATTGAGCCACAGGTATGGGTTTGGGGTCGCGTAGTCCCCCAGGCCGTAGCCAGTTGGTCGCTGCGTCGCAGGTAGACTCTGTTGGTGGTAAACACTGAAGTTGTCACAGTACACAGCCATATCCGGGGTCTCGTGCGCGCTTTTTGGCAGGTGCTGGAGAGGGTTGACAGCAGCGTTACTATTGTTATGGATCTGCGCGTCGATGGTGTTCATATCTCCAGTGCCTATAAGGCAAATGTGTCTCTCTGGAGCTCACGCTCTCACAGTATAACGCACAATACTATCTCTGACTGGTCAGGTTAAAAACAACAAGTGTCTGCTTTTTGTGAGCTAAATTTGGTCATATATATGTAGCGCCCCCTACCTGTCTTTCTTGTAATTAAGTAGGACAGCGCTCCAGATTCATTAACTATATGCCTACAGATGTTGAAGTTAGGCCCCTCTGGTGTCACTAAATGAATTAATTCTCTTTTAGAAAATTAGAATAATAATCTATACTTTCCTTTTACGAAGTTACTCAGAATTAAATCTCTACGCCCCCAAACTGATGAAGTCAACAAACACTTCTGAAAGAATAACACACTGGTAAAAGTACAAAACAAATAAAGGATTTAATTGTAATAGAATGATCAAATGTTAACTGGCTCAAACAATGAGTTTCAGAATGTGAAGTGTTCCCACAATCACATTCACATTAAATGGGACACAATTTAATCCTCGAAGGACAATTTCTCAGATGCCCGACCTACTGAAATTAGTATACAGGTCCAATAGAATCAGTATATCTTAAACCAATGACCTCAATGGGATAAATGTATACAATAACTCACAAATTATACCAAATATACTCTGAATATAAACAATTACATGTTCAGTGCACTGAATAATACTAGAATGTACCAATATTTAATGCGGTGGGCCCACACACACACACACACCAGTCATTGACTCAACCCCACCCCGTTGCAGGCCTGAAACGTGGCTCGTGTTCGTGGTGGCCGGGAAACTGACAAATGGCCCCTTCACTCTCCTGAGCACAAAACAATTCAAACAAAGATACCTCAATTCCACGTGCAATGATACCGCAACTCCGGAATCCTGCAGCAGGCGTCACGCAGCTCCTCGTCCTCTCTCTCCCTCGTCAGCCGACGAAATGCACCTCCCACGCCGCCAGAGGAACCCCAAATAACGCGGGTATTTGGGGCGCTATCTGGTCCTCAAGGTCTCCCTCGTTGTGAAGGGCAACAACCAGGTTAAACAGTCTTTAGTCGGTTGTTTAACTGTCGCTGTAATCAGTTCAGATGCGCAGATATGCGCAGTGATAACTAAACGAAAACACTCGGATTCGCTCCCACACGGCAGGTTAGCCACACAAAACAAAACTATAAAAACACTGGCTACAAAGTCAAAGACGCACACACAAGCAATTCATCTTGGATCTACATTACAGTTAAAGGTTGTTTAAACTTATAAATCGTCAATCAAATCACTCTGTACCCGCAAACGCGTCTCTCTCTGAATCTCCGTCTCTCTCCCTCTCTCCCTCGCGCTTGTCAACAAAAACTCTCATGTCCCGAACAACCACTCACATTACACAAAACACCAGTGAGGGCGGGACTTAATTCACATAAACCAATAACTAATCAAACACCTAACTTGATGGTTAAAGCCACGTTTTCCACAAGTACACCTCTATCAAACTTGTATCTCATGCACGCGCGCTCTTAAAGGCACAAATACACGTATGATCACAAACAAAGATGAATGGTTAATTCACATTTTCTCTCTTAATTAAACAAATACAAGCTAATAAATTGAAGTAACTTATTAACAACACAGTTATAACCTACTGGGTTACATGCTCCCCCTTCTAAACATCTCATGACCCCATGAGATTACTTCTCAACACCTTAATGGTGACTTTAGGCTCAGTAGAAGGGTTTAACTGAGTACAACGAACACATTGTGCCATAGGGTGACACCACATGGTGTTACAGGGTTTCCTTTCTGAACCTTCCCCACCCTCTACATTTATGACCATCCCTCTATGAATCAGAGTTAAGGGTCTGTTAGTGGGCTGTCCCAGAGAATCATAGCTCAACTTGACTACGGGTCGTATCTCCCTTTTTGGGCGGGAATGAACTGTCTCTACTACCTCTTTAGTAGCGTTAATTCTTTCCATCTCTCCCCCTTCTAAACCAGGATCTCCCCTAGTCTCTGAACTTCGATCGGGAAACTCTCCAGGGCCTTCTTCCATGATCATCGGCTCTGCCATGTCGTCAAAAGGTCTATCCACCTCCCATCCACAGTTAACCGGTTCATCCTCCACTGTAGAGTCCTCCAGTGTAACACACTCTGGACTGTGCTGTCTCTCCACTCTATCCGAGTAGTAATAACACACGTCATCCTCTTCACTTTCAGAGGAGTTTCTCAACTCACACCCTGTCGGCACTACATTTCTTTCTCCTAATCCTCTTCTCCGTTTTCTCTCCCTAGATCTTGTCCTGGTCTCCGCCGGAGCAACAACTCTTGTAGGTTCTCCAGCATCTGTCAACCTCACATGATCCCCAACTGGCAAGAGATGGTCTCGGTGTAATGTTCTTACACTTCCCATTCCGGACTCAGGTTTCAGGCGATACACTGGTAAGTTCTCTAGCTTTTCCACCACCAGGTAAGGAACAGAATTCCACTTGTTGCAGAGTTTGTTCTTTCCAGTCAATGCCAGATTTCTTATCAGCACACGATCTCCCACAGTCAGACTCTGGTGTTTCACTCGCTTGTCGTACAACCGTTTGTTCCTTCGCTGACTTTTCTGGGCAGTTTCGGTGGCTAACTGATATGCTCTCTGTAAGTCTAATTTCATTCTTTCCACATACTGTCGATGGCTTCCTGCTCCCTTTCCATCAGGCGAAGTCCCGAAACACACATCCACTGGCAAACGAGCCTCTCTTCCGAACAGAAGATAGTAAGGGGAAAACCCAGTGGCTTCGTTCTTAGTACAGTTGTAAGCGTGTACTAAACTGTTAATGTGCTGACTCCATCGGTTCTTTTCGGCTGGATTCAGGGTACCAAGCATGGAAAGGAGCGTTCTGTTGAACCGTTCTGGCTGTGGGTCTCCTTGAGGATGATAGGGAGTCGTTCTGGACTTTCGGATTCCCAACATGCTTAGAAGCTCTTTTATGAGACCACTCTCAAAATCTCGACCCTGATCAGAATGGATGCGAGAGGGTAAGCCATAGTGAACGAAGAATTTGTCACACAGTATCTTAGCCACAGTCAGAGCTTTCTGGTCTTTGGTGGTGAACGCTTGAGCGTAGCGTGTGAAGTGGTCTGTTACGACGAGAACATTACCAATACCTTTTGAGTCCGGTTCAATTGACAGAAAGTCGATGCACACTAAGTCGAATGGCCCACTGCTGTGTATGTGATTCAGTGGGGCCACTCTCTTGGGTAACGTCTTTCTCATTACACACCGGCCACAATCCTTGACATACTGCTCTATGTATGCAGACATTCTAGGCCAATAGAAACGGTCTTTCACAAGTTCCGTAGTTTTTTCTACTCCCAAGTGACCAGAGTCGTCGTGCAATGATTGTAACACAGTAGCCCAGTACTTCTCGGGTAAGACGAGTTGTGTCTTGTCTCTACCACAGGAACTTTTGGTGACTCTGTACAGAAGTTGACTCTTTATCTTTAACTTGTCTCCCTGCCGCTGTAACAGAGCAATGGTAGCATCAGAACTCCTAGTACCAGTAAGAATCCTTCCTGACTCCACTTCTCGCTTTACTACACCAACTACCTGGTCTTCCTCTTGAGCTTTCCTCAACTCAGTAGTGCTCAACTGTTCCATTTGACTAAGCCCCAAAGCTGTGGGACAAGAGAAAGCTTCAGGAATACCCTCAGGTAACACACCCAACGGATCCACCAGTCTGGATGATGAGCTTCCACTTTCAGCAACCACTGCTAACTGACAGATGGCTCTTACTCCTGACTTGGGTATCTCCTTCCATTCAGAGCAAGCAGTTGATTCACAGGGGTAGCGAGACAATACATCCGCATCGATGTTGGCACTTCCTGGTTTGTATTGCAAGCTGAAGTTATAGGTAGCTAAGGCAGCTAACCAACGATGACCCGTCGCACTCAGCTTGGCACTTGACAACACATAGGTCAGGGGATTGTTGTCGGTCTTTACCACGAACTGGGCTCCATATAGGTAGTCGTGAAACTTATCCACTACCGCCCACTTGAGTGCCAAGAACTCTAGCTGATGTATGGGGTACCGTTGTTCTGATGCACTCAGTTTCCGGCTTGCGTAGGCCACGGGCCTCATTCCTCCAGAATGCTCCTGATTCAAAACGGCCCCCAGTCCACTCAGACTAGCGTCTACATGCAGTACATAAGGCTTGGCAGGATCCGCGAAAGCAAGTACTGGGGCATGGGTGAGACAGTAAATGATTTTATGGAACGCTGCTGTACAAGTGTCGTCCCAACGCTCTCCAAAGGGTTCCGATACTCTGAAGTAAATCTTCCCATCACTTGACTTGCTTTTTTGCCCAGATGTTGGCGGGTAACCTTTAGTGAGCTCTGTTAAAGGCCTTACAATGGCGGAGTAATCCTTTATGAACCTCCGGTAAAATCCACAAAACCCCAGGAACGACCTCAATGTCTTTAGGTCAGTGGGCCTTTTCCAGCGTGTTACGGCTTCAACCTTGGCTGGGTCTGGTGATACTCCAGCAGCTGATACAATGTGGCCCACATACCGAACTTGAGGCTGGCAGAACTGGCACTTATCTATTGACACTTTCAGGCCACATTCTCTCAGACGGTCCAGGACTTTTAACAGCCTCTCTTCGTGTTCTTCAAGGGTGCGTCCGAACACAATGATGTCATCCAGGTATACTATTACTTGGAGGAGATGCATGTCACCAACAGCTTTCTCCATGAGCCGCTGGAAGGTGGCTGGAGCTCCAGTGATCCCTTGAGGCATCCGTTCAAACTGGAAGAATCCCAGGGGACAGATAAACGCTGTCTTTTCTTTATCTTCCTCCGCCATGGCTATCTGATAGTACCCACTGCGGAGGTCCAGCACGGAAAACCATTTACTACCAGCCAAACTGTCCAAGGCATCGTCGATCCTGGGAGTAGTGTACTGATCAGGGATAGTACGAGCATTTAGAGTGCGATAATCGATGCACATTCTGATTGCCCCACTCTTCTTCCGTGCTACCACAATGGGCGATGCATACGGACTCCTTGACTCTGTAATTATTCCCGCTGCTAACAAGTCTTTGATGTGACGTCGTACATCCTCGATGTCTGCAGGAGCGATGCGTCTGGAGCG